GACAAAGATCCCCCGTATAGCCTTAACATACTGTTCGGGCAAGTGCTGTTAGCGAGCACCTATGCAAGCCAGCACGGCACACGAGGGGCTGGCTGGCCAACACCACGCCCGGACCGCCTTTGTCTCACCAGTGGCGATGTTTCCTACACACCGCACCAGGTACCCATCTGAGGCTGAGTCGACCGAGGGGAGGCCCAGGACCGGTTCAGATAATCGTCACCGGCGTTGGCCGTGAGCAGGAACCGAACCCGGGTTACCGGGTTGGTAGCGCGGCGCGCTAACCGCTACACCACCTCTCCCCCGGGTTGATATACACACACACACACGCACGAGTCCCGATTAGAGTCACGGGCGCCGTCGTGCCGATGCCCATTATTCTAACTCGCCGTTGCGTAAACCCGCGTGGTCTTTAAGGGCAGTGTCAGCCGTCAAGGTCCGTCCAATAAATCGGCCCCTTCTTTTTTTTGCATTGGACCGAGCGGTTCTGCCGTTCTCCGCCAAGGCCGACGCCGGCAATTAGTCACGCGGCAAAGACATCGCTGCGCCCGATTGAAAGCGATGCGCTTGCTCGCTCATTGATGCACGCGCACGTGAACTTGCGTGCCCAGCTGGCTCCCTTTGTCACTGGATAGAGAGCGAGAGAAGGTGGTGGGGCGGGGGGAGGTAGCCACCCCACAATCACGCCCTGCGGCGGCAGGGTCGTGTTGGTTATTTGACCGCGTTGTGCCACGCTGGTTCAGTTGGGGGGGGGATGGGAGTCGGGGAGGTTCAGGAGCGGGTCCGATGTGACTCGCTACGATAGGAGTCTCGTTTGCAAGAGCAGCCTGGAGGTCATGAGTCTGCCCGTAGCGGGGGGAGGGGGTGGGGGGCTGTAACCATTGCTGGCTGATAGAGAGCCACGGTGGCTAGGAGATGTTAACTACCTCACCTGGTATGCAGGAGGTCGTCGTTGGTTCGATCCCGACCTTGACGCCTGCTGTATATTTGGAGTTCGCATATTCTCCCCGTGGTCGCGTGGATTTTTTCTCCGTGTCCTCCGATTTTTTTTCCCCCTCCACGTTTAGAATCAACGCGCGTTCAGAGTATTTGGCTGCTAAACATTTCCACGCGACGAGCCACTTCGTTGAGCTATCGTTTGTGGCCAGCTCGCTTCTGAACAAGGGCTATATATATATAGCTCAGTGGGCCTTACCTAGTAAAACATTTTTTAAGTGAGCCGACCCGGCCAGGCGGCGCAGCTTAGTACATCGAGCGAGTTAAGAAACCTGATTGTTGGCGGTTGACTGAGCCCATCATCCATGCTAGGGTCGATACAATAAATATCGTTCCGTCTGGAAAGCGGCTGCCCTGTGAGCAAACTCGCTCCCCGCCGTGGGAACGTGGAATTTCCCCCACCGGCTTCACGCACTATCAACAGGAAATGTGCACCGGAAAATGAATGTTCGCTTGTGCAGGAAATAACTTCAGACGGTTTTTGTTTTCTCCGTGCGTTCAGTGCATCGGCATGCGTGTGGTTTGCGACCACAGCTGCGTGGAGACATTCATCAACATCGCTGCCTCCGACGGAGCATCCCTCCAAGCGAATCAGGGACACCCTAGGGTCGACTCGGCACCAATAGCTCCGTGTTCACTGCTGCGTATTAACAGCATCAGCGTGCTCGCCCTCGCTCTCCCTCTCTCTCGCACGCACTCGCTCTCACACACTCTCACTCACTCTATCTCTCACTCTCTCTCACTATCACTCACTCTATCTCTCACTATCACTCACTCTATCTCTCACTCTCTCTATATATCTCACTCTCACTCTATATCTCACTCTCTCTCTATATATCTCACTCTCACTCTATCTCTCTATCTCTCACTCTATCTCTCACTATCACTCACTCTATCTCTCTATCTCTCACTCTATCTCTCACTCTCTCTCTATCTCTCACTCTCTCACTCTATCTCTCACTCTATATCTCACTCTCTCTCTATATATCTCACTCTCACTCTATCTCTCACTCTCTCTCTATCTCTCACTCTCTCACTCTATCTCTCACTCTCACTCTATATCTCACTATCTCTCTATATATCTCACTCTCACTCTATCTCTCACTCTCACTCTATATCTCACTCTATATCTCACTCTCACTCTATATCTCACTCTCACTCTATATCTCACTCTCACTCTATCTCTCACTCTCACTCTATATCTCACTCTCACTCTATATCTCACTCTCACTCTATATCTCACTCTCACTCTATATCTCACTCTCACTCTATATCTCACTCTCACTCTATCTCTCACTCTCACTCTATCTCTCACTCTATATCTCACCCTCACTCTATATCTCACTCTCACTCTATCTCTCACTCTCTCTCTATATCTCAGTCTATCTCTCACTCTCACTCTATATCTCACTCTCACTCTATCACTCACTCTATCTCTCACTCTCTCACGCACTCTCACACTCTCTCTCTCACTCATCGGCTTTTGGCAGGCCATCGAGCAAAGAGGGCCACCGCATCGCGCGCTTCTAGATGCCCTTCTGCGGCCGTCTGGAACGCTCCTTCTTCCCATGTTAGGAAGCCACTGGAGCTATGCGCTTTTTAATTCTAGATTGGAAAGTCATTTCTTTAAAACTGCTTTTTCTCTTTAGTTTGTTGTCCTCCCCACCGCACCTCGGGTTGTCACGTTAGGTTACGTACGGTGCGAAAGAAGTTCAACATACATATATACAAAGACAATGGTCCCTCGTATAGCCATAGCAGACTGTTGGGGCAAGTGCTGCTAGTGAGCACATATGAAGGCCGGCACGGCACACGAGGGGGTGGGTGGCCAGCACCACGCCCGGTCGTCTTTGTCTCCCCAGTGGCGATGTTTACACAGCGCACCAGGTACTCATTTGAGGCTGAGTCGACCTAGGGCAGGCCCAAGACCGATTCAGATAATCGTCACCGGTGTTGGCCGTGAGCGGGAATCGAACTCGCGTCACTGGGTTCGTAGCGCAGCGTAGCGCTAACCGCTGCACCACCGCCCCATACTTAAACTCTATCTCACTCACTTTCTCGCTCGCTCGCCTAATGCCGCGAGCGCCGTTGTGTCTCTGTATGTTTATTTTCGCTATGATGTAAATTCAATATTTTCCTCCCAACACCGAGCCACGCACCGAGGCTCCAATCCCAGCCACGTGCGACAGAGAGAGAGATCTAAATCTGGCTCTACCCACGGATAAATGAACTCATAACAGTGTTGTTGTTGTGCCAGACGCTTCCACAGTTGACTTACGATCATTTACAAAGAACAAAAATTCTACGCAGCAGCGCCTAAAACATTCTTCAACGACAGCGTGGCCTTAAAAATGTTGTCGATTTGCTCTCCAACACACCGGTGTGCTGTACTAGTAACTAATTGGCATGTGTTCACGTGACAAATCTTACTAATTGGCTGTGTCGGGTGGTCGCGGGTCTAACGACACATTCATATTTACGCCAATCTAACCCAAAAAAAACATCTATCATGCAATTTTATTTTAAATGAATTAGATTTCAAGTTATATTATTGCATTCATGTTTTTCATACGATAAATGTTGTTTACCTCTGAAATATGATTCTTATATAATTTACGGTTTGTTTTAATGTCAGGTTAGACACACTTCGTCTGTGCTCTCCAGGAGCCTGGCTGAAAAAGTGCGCTTAGGTTTGTGCCCAATCCTGTCCCAGGTGGCTGTAGCAAGCGTAATAAATACGTAACTAAAACCGATGGTTCTGGGGTTGTAGGGCCGTTGCTCGGAGGATCGCGGGTCGTATACTTTTCATTTCAGGGCCGCACACAAATGCGGTGTTGGTATTCACGATCGTGTTTGAGCAATTTGGCAACTCACTTCGGGCCCCAGCAAAGCGCTCTGTCCAAGCAGGGGGAGCCGCTCTGGCTTTCCACATTAAACTTTCAACTGATCCCACATTCTATTTTTGACTCATCTCACATTTTACTTGTCAACTGATCCCACATTTTACGTTGTATTTATCCCACATTTAACTTTCAACTCATCCCGCATTTTACGTTCAACTCATCCCACATTTAACTTTTCAACTGATTCCACATTTTACTTTGAACTCATCCCACATTTTACTTGTCAACTGATCCCACATTTTACTTTCAACTCATCTAACATTCTATTTTTAACTCATCCCACATTTTACTTTCAACTCATCTCACATTCTATTTTTAACTCATCCCACATTTTACTTTCAACTCATCCCACATTCTATTTTTAACTCATCCCACATTTTACTTTCAACTCATCTCACATTCTATTTTTAACTCATCCTACGTTTTACTTTCAACTCATCTCACATTCTATTTTTAACTCATCCCACATTAGACTTTCAACTCATCCCGCATTTTACTTTCAACTCATCCCGCCTTTAACTTTTTAATTCATCCAACATTTTGCGCTTAACGCCTTTGTTCGGTGCCTTCACACACCGTTCTTGAATAAACGTTTTTTTAAAATTCACATTCTATATAAAAGACAGAAATATGATATTTTGGCACTCGAAATGTATTGCTACAGAATGATACCGGCATCTAAGCTGGACCCAAAGAATGACCAAAGTATAAGTACGAAAAAGGTTGCATATAGAAGTGAACAATCTGATGACGCAGGCAGTGATTAGACAGAAACTGGCGCACGTTTGGACACATACGTGGCATAGACAACAACAACAACAACGAGAGTTTTAAACGTGTGTTGTGCGGAAAAATGGAAGGAACCGGAAAGAGAGGAAAACCTCACAGAGACTGGCTTGTCGACGACAGGAGAGATTGCTGCCAGAGAGATGTGTCAACTGCTTGAGCGTATTGCCACAAGACGGAAGAGGAAAGTAGAAACAAACTACGGAATGTGCAGTGGACACCTGTTTAAACTGCGGGCTCTCTGCCCATGGTTCGTGATGATGACGATGATGATGACACACGGGTACAAAAGCCAACTGCGACTGTTGCGTTTCCCAGGCACGACGAAAGCGTCTCCCTCTTCTGTGCAAGGCGCCCATCCATCCCACTCGCATACGAGCGTTTGCCGTCTCCTGCCGAGCCACCACCGATTCCTGGTGACTCAACGTTCCCTCGACCTCCGGCGCGTCCGTTTCTCCTTCAACACCACCGCCGCGGCCCGTACCAGGTTTCCAAGGTAACTCCCATCGTTTCTCTTCCACACACACACACACAATTGAGCACAATGGTCATTGGTTAATGTGCTATGAAGGAGGGGCATTGCCCCGAAACGTCGTCTATTATGGCCGGCTGGTTGGTTTGGTGGGTTGCTGTGTAGACGCCGGGGTGGGTTGCTGGGTGGCTGAATATGTAGCTGAGTGGCTGGGTGGGTGACTGGGTGGATGTGTGGGTGGCTGGATGGGTCTGTAAGTGGCTGGGCGGGTGGGTGATTGAGTAGACACGTGGGTGGCTGAGGGGCTAGGGTAAGTGGCTTGGTAGATGAGTGACTGGGCGGGTCGGTGGCTGGATAGACGTGTGGGTGGCTGGATGAGTAGCTGAGTGGCTTGGTAGCTGCGTGTCTACCCTCACGCTCACGCTATTTTAATATTAAGTCCTCAGTTTACGGCGCCCACAGATCCGGAGGGGCTATGCTTGGAGCTGGCGATATTTGGAGATCAAATGTAACTTTTCCCCGTCTCTTCTATATTTTTTTTAGTTTCCGTCTTCATTTTTTTGGGGTGTCATTTGGGCTTTGTGCACAGCGTCGCACAAGATCCAGTAGTTATTTTTCTGTGCTCCCACGCCCCCCCCCCCCGGAGAGACTGCTGCGCGTAAATATATAAAAAAAAAACAACTCCAGAGTTTAAACATCGCCAAATAAAAAAAGTTTTGCTATCGCATTGACAGCTGAAGCAAAACGAGGCTCCACCTGGAGAACACCTTGGATTTTGAGAGGAGGCGGTGGCGTGGGGGGCTGGGGGAGTAAGTCGGGGGGGGGGTGGGGGAGGGGTGGTAGAGGCACACGCTGACATTGGTGGTGGTGGTGGTGCCAGTCCATCGGGGGCCCTAAGCGGAAATGACTGTATTCTCCTTATTATAAAGATAACTCTGGAAAGTACGCCGCACGCCAAAGCGTGTGCCCCTTGCCAATGAAGTGAAGTTATTATGAAACTTTGCGTCTTATAACCCGGATAATAGGGTCATTTCACACACGCACACCTACCGGAGTATAAGACGCACCTCCACCTGAAAATATAGGGGTGGAGGGGGGACGTATGATCTGGAGAATATCGTATTTTTTGGTGCATCACTTGACTGCCGAACATTATGTGCGAGATAACTACTTGATAAAAAAAACAATATCACGGTTGCGTGAAATAATTATTGTGATGCATTAATTCATTAAACGTATTGTAATAGTGGCATTACAACAAATTTGAGATATTTTTTTTATTCGCCAGGGATCTTAGTTCGAGATGATTATCGGTGCTTATTTAGTCCTAGCACCATCGGTGGACGCTGATGATCCGCCACTTGTATGAAGCTGACATTTCTGCAGCGATATCTTCTATGAATACGATACCCCCACCCCTCCCCGTCCTTGAGCTACATGGGACGCTGAGCTTTTGCTTTGGTTTGCTTTACTTATACCTAGCGCCGTCACTGTTGGTCTGCAAAGCGGAATTCGAAGTTGGGCCCCGTGAATCCATGCTGTGTTCTTCCACTCCCCTTCTGACCCCCCCCCAACCCCCCTGCCCCACACCCCCCGCCCTAATTGTGAAAATGCAACATCCTTACTCTTTTCCCCTGGGCCGCTCAACAACTTTCGAATGTACTCCCACCACCTCCATCCTGCCTTCCTCTCTGCGGCTCTGGGGGAAAGGAATTGAGAGAGAGAGAGAAGAAGAGAGGAGGGAGAGAGAGAGTAGAGAGAGGAGAGGGAGAGGAGAGAGTAGAGAGAAGAGAGGGAGAGGAGAGAGAAAAGAGAGAGAGGAGAGAGAGAAGAGAGAGAGAGGAGAGAGAGAGAAAACTAAAAACCGCTATCCCAATGGGCTGACCTCAGCTACGCTCACACACACTTCCATCTTCATAGATCTCTTTACTCGGGCCCATTTTCACGTTCATGTCTCGCTGGCCAAAGAGGCTATTGATTGTTTTGTATTATTGTGCTTGTTTGTGTCACAGTTCAGTGAAGCGGGGGTGCGGTGGGTAGCGGGGGAGGGATGGGGAAAAAAAGGAATAATGTAATAGATGTAAATAAGAACACACTTATTACGTCGCCTGCTTAATCAGACATTACGAGCGTGCGAAAACCATTATCTATAGATATGGGTTGTTTTTTTTCTTCCAATTCTACTATTGGCGTCGTCTTTGGAGAGAAACTCTCCCTACGGATCACTCGCGGAGTAGTGCAAACCCCCGTGCGAGAGAACGGCCCGCGGAAGAGATGTCACAGAACGACTTCCGAGATCCCTTCAAATGGCCTTTCTTCCACAGACACGGGAGGCAACACTCTCGCCACATTTTCCCCCACGTGCGACGCTACGCATAAATGTTCACCGTCCAACTGATATTTAATAATTATTCGTAACAATTATTATTATCTATTCCCGCACGTGATTGGCAGCAGCAATCTGTTGAGGAGCTAGATGTGTCAACGTCTTGCTGGTCACGACGAGAGGGCTTCAGCAGATAGAGAGAGAGAGCGAGCGAGTCTGACACGAAGGCTTTCGCGACCAATACTGTCCATGATAGAGGTGTTTGGGTTAGATCACGCGAATAGAAATGTGTCGTTAAGCCCGTCATCACCCCACACAGCCAATTAGAAACAGGAGGATTTATTCACAAGTCTGGCTGTCGTCTGATGATGCTCGTGTAATTACTGGCGAAACGTCGTACTCGAATTGTAAATGTTGTGGGTTAACTACCCAACACACCGGTTAGTGCTGTATTAGTAACACAATGGCATGTTTTGTTCACGTGACAAGCCTTACTAATTGGCTGTCTCGGTGGTGGCGGGTTTAACGACGCGTTTATATTTACACGATCTAATCCAAAAATCTATACTATAGAGAGAGAGAGAGAGACCGTGTAGTCTTGCCATTCCTCCTCCTCCTCCATTGAAGGAGCGCAGGCCACATTGGGTTAATGTGTGGTCCGTAACTTTGTGTGAATGGCGCTGTGCAAAATCGTGGCTCGGTTGGAAACAATTCCATCCGTTGGGCCAGCACATGTAGGACATTTCATTCAAAACCCTTGGACGTACAGCAAGCAAACGCATGCTGCTGCTGCTGCTGCTACGCCAGGTGAGTAGCGATATCAATTTGGCCGGATATTCAACAGAGGGAGCTGTGGGTTGCAAAATAATCTTCACCCCCCGGACAAAAAATACACACAAACGCAAGCACGCACACATGGCGCACCGCCGGGCCATCGTCGGTGGCAATGTCTTCTTCGTTTTCTTGAAGATTCCATTAAAAAAAAAACCGAACCAGCGGTGAATAATCCTTGCTTTTTTTTTAGTTATTGTTGAGTTATATATATATACCACGAGGGTTTTGCACAGTAGGTCAAGAGTTGGATCTGCCCGTATGGCTCTCGCCGATGGAACTCGGAATAATTGGCGAAGGTTGGGGGGGGGGGGTGGGGGGGGGGGGGGGCTGAGGATGGGGAGTTGCGAATCTCCCCCCTGGCTGTGTGGTTCCCTTCTCCTTGGTGAAGCTGATTAATGCAGAGGAGCAACTCTCGCCCCCGTGTCGTCCTGGCACCAAGAGAGGAGCCTCGCGGCCGCCCTGCTGCTGTCTCGCCACGGTGCCACGGAGATGTTAACTACCTCGCCCGGTATACAGCAGGATGTGGTGGTGGACGGGCAAAGGGGATGGAGGTGTGGGTCATGAGGTGGGTGGGCGAGCTTTCCTCCTCCGTAGATGCTTGCTAATTAATTGGCGGCACGGTGGCGAGATGTTGACTATCTCGCCTGTTATGCAGGAGATCGTGGGTTCGATCCCGACCCCCCGACGCCTGTTGTATATTTGGAGTGTGCATGCCTCTCTCCCCGTGTCTCGCATGCCCAGAAAGGGCATCTCGCCGCCCCAGGGGGTTGCGTACACCCCAGGTTAAGAACCACTGGCACGAGGCTCCGACTGGGTGGAGGCGTCGCTCCCCTCGCGACCTACATACACCCGTGGGGAGCGTTTGGCCATATTTCAACCACGCTAGATTTTTAGTTTGGGTGGTGGGGGGAGGGGAAAAATAACTATTTTTGTTCGCCCATACACGTCGCCTGATATGCAGAAGGTTCGTGAGTTCCATCACGTACCCTGACGATGCCTGTTATTGTATATTTGGAATCCGCGTGATCTCTCTCTCTCTCCCCCCGTGGTGATCGCTTCGATTGCTTTCAGAGTTCCTCAAATTTTTGCCCCCTGTTCCCCTCTCCACATTTAGACTCAACACACGGTCAGATTATAATCTGACCGTGTGTTGAGTTATTTGTCGACTGGAATAAATCCCCACGTGCGATGATGATGATGATGCTGGTGATGACGATGATCAAGCCACTTCGATGAGCTGTCACATGACGTGTGGCCAGGTCGACTCTGAAAAAGGAGCTCATATATCTACCCGGTAAGATACAATAGCTAGTAACAGTTCGTAATAATTAATACGATGACCTGCTTTGCGCGATGAGCGATCGGACCACCGTGACTTTCCAATCGTTCCGTGCGCTCCACTCTGCCCTCAGACCTCAACTCCCCTGCACGTGTATCGACTTCGAAGCCGGCTATCTTTCCCTCTCTCTCTGGCCCTCTCACTCTATCCCTTTCACCCTCTCTCTCTTTTTTACGATCAGAGGAAACAAGAAGATGGTCGGTGTAGTCGGCACTTTGCTTCGTTCATCATTTCGGTTTTTTGTTTTTGTTTTGTAATGGTTTGCTTTATGTAAACCCCCCCCCTCCCCCCTTTTTAAATGAAAGATTTAACAAAATATTTCTCGCACTGCTCACCTTACCCCTTCCCTTTCTCTCTACCCCCTCTCTTCCTACTCCATGTCGCTCTCTTTTTTATAACTACGACAAGTGCTGCATCTGCACGCAGCCCTCCTCACAGTCAAACGCCCTCCGACGCTCTCTCTCTCTCTCTCTTGCTCTCTCTTTATTGTTTGTTCTCTTGCTCTATCTTCTCTCTTTCTTTTAA